TAAAGCTGTTAAAACCTGGCTGTGTCGTCAGGCCTGGGGTTGATGAGTTCCCTTCCCCTCTCGAATCGTGTGACTGTTGTCTTTTAAATTCCCTTGTACCTTTTTTGTTATAGTTTCTTTGTGTTTACCTCCCCCCCCCCTTTGGGTTTGTTAGCCGCCCTGAGTCCCTCAGAGAATAGGGCGGCATATAAATAAAATAAACCTTCAAACCTTCCTGTAGATCAGACTAGCCATTTTACAGCCCATAGACTACATCTGGCCCTTTAGTTGTCCATTGTCTGGCCAGCAGCGGCAGGGAGGCAAGGTTTTGGCACTGGTAGCGGCATCAGTAGGGCAACATGGGAGGTAGGGGTGGCCCTCCATTAACAGTGTCTCCAGTTTCTTATGTGGCCCCTTGAGAAAAGTGGTCCCTTGCTCAACCCTGCTCTAGATACCAATAGCTGAAGATCCAGTTATGATAAATGGCTGTTTTCCTCATCTGATGCCCAAGACTTTGGAAAACAGGATGCTGGAAAAACAAAAGTTACCTATTAGTTCATCCTACAGCAATTCTAAAAAATTGGGGGAAATACTTTATTGAAAAGGAATAACCTAAACCTCTCTTGTTATTATTTAATCAATAGCCTAAGCAAATGCTTAAGTATTCCACAAAAATTTAAATAATTAAAAACTTCTTTTTTAAAAAATGTAGTTTTTGAAATGCCTACAATATGTTTGCAGGAGGATCTCAAAGCAACTTTAACAGCAAAGAACAGAGAAGCAAAACAATTATCTCAACTGGAGAGGACCCGTCAACGAAATCCATCTGATCGGCATATTATTGTATCCTTTGCACACATTCTTATTTAAAACATAGTTAAACTGTTGAAAAAGATTGGTACATGTAAAAAATCAAGTACAATTTCTTTTACATTCTGTTTTCCTAAAATTCCTTAGTTGACAATTGATTATCCAGCAATTAAAAGTAATTACCTGCTTATGGGATTCTTTCTTTGCTCCCCAATTTGTTATAGTTTCAAGATTTATACTAAAAACCAGAAGTTATCAATAATTTCTGTCTGATAAACTAGAAGCTTGATGAATTTTTATACTGAAAGAATTGTTTAAATATCAGACATACTGTAGTATTTTCTATAACTTAGAACATATTCCTTTACTGTTAACACCTTCAGTCACAGGTAAGTCATCCATTTGAAACAATAGCATAAGATCTTTTAATAATTATGCTTTTTTGTATTTATAATTATTCCACCAATAAGATAAAAATAAGTTATATATACCTACATATACTAAGATCAGTAAAAAGATTTTCTTTAAAGATCCCTTACTTTAGAAGGCAAAGAAGAGCTTGGTACCATATCTTCTGACTAATATACATTATTAAAATTTGTAAGTTAGCTAGCTAAATTGATTTTTTTTTATTAAAGTCAATGACTAGTATTGGCATAAAACATTGCATAGCTAATTTAATTAGGTGTACAAGAGAACCAAACTGCTGTCCATCTTCATATTACACTACAGAATTTGGCTACATGTAAAGAAATATAATCATTTAAGTCCTAACGTAATATTTGTAAATAAAACTGATTAGAATGACCAGGGTTAGGAGTGAACAGCTCATGGAATGGAATGTTCTTATGGTATTTTAACTTTTATTTTTTATTGTTTTATTTCCTAAGGATATAAAGAGTGGGGTATCTGTAGAATAAATAAAGATAATTAAACATTAAATAAAGTCAAAATACTAAGAAAAATATTATTCCTAAAGTTAAAAACTACTACAGCAGCAAATCAGCTTAACGTCCATAAAACCTTTGAATTAAGTCTTAGGAATCAAAGATTGAAAGAATAGTGCTTTATCAGCACATCTATTGCAAATAATGTTTCCAGGTGAGAAAAATAGAAACATTTTCTCATCTATATCTTAGAAATCTTTAGAAACATTTTCCCAAAGATCCTAATAGGGCCACAACCATAGAGCACACTCTTAGAGTGGCTGCTGCTAGAAGACTCGGCAGCCGAGTTTTGGAGTTTGGAAGCCGGAGAAGTTATGCTCGGAGCGCAGCAGGGGCGGAACAGGAGCTCGCGCAACCCCCTTCTCCAGCCGGGCAGAGCTCCATGCACTGACCTAGGGGGTATCCCGAATGTGCGAATCCACAGGAGCTGGGGAGCGGGGCAGAGCACCACGTGCCTTGGCGCCTTAGGGATACCTCCTAGGTCAGTGAATGGCGCCCTGCCCAGCTGGAGAAGAGAGTTTGCTAGGCGGCTGCTCATGAGCATGGTCACCTCATGGCTACTTCGCCCGAGGCTGTGCCCGGCTCTTCAGGAGCCAGTTTGCAAGGGAGCAGCCACCCGGCAACTCCCCCCTCCGGCCAGGCAGAATGCCACTCCCCAACCTAGCGGTATCCTGAATGCAGCAAGCCCCAGCTCAGTGCCTTTGGGATATCACTATGTCGGTGAGCAGTGCTCTGTCTGGCCGGAGGGGGGGTTGTCCAGGGGGCTTATTTTCGGGGGTGGGCTTATATTTTTGCCTACGCAAAAAATGTGGCAAGGTGTTAGTTTCAGGACAGGTTGTATTTTTGGGGAAACAGTAGTGTAGGTAAACTAGATACATTTTTGCAATCACTGCCGTCCACAGAATCTTTCACACTTAACATAGTTATCTAAAACAGCAATGAAACATTTTTAGAATTGTATTTTCTATAAGGTTTGTAGTACTTTTCAAATTATGAGAAATACATAGTTGATTTAGAGTATCTTTTTCTAGGGGCTATACATACAGCAGTATGCTTTCTCAGGTGGTTTATCTAATAATTTTTAAATAGAACATTGGAAAACGTATGTTGTAGGAAAAAAAATCACTTTATTTTTAAGGCTGAAAGTGAATTACAGAGAGCCTCTCTGGATGCAACTAGAACAAGTCGACAGTTGGAAGAAACGATTGACAATTTTGAAAAACAAAAAATAAAAGATATTAAGGTAAGTATGTAATTTTGGTACAAAGCAACAAGGCAATACAGATAGTGGGATTAACAGACTGTTTCTGAAATGGGAACAAACCTCTCCACACATCTAATGAACTTGCAAATGAGTGAGCCAAGTTGGTTAGCCTCCATATGAGGACCCTAGAAAGAATAGAATTTCTGATTTTATTTTTTAAATTGGCATATTCAAGTTTAGTGACAGAATTCAAATTATGTTCAACAAATAATTAAAACTGGCCGTTTTTAAACACTCATAGTGCATGTCCGAGATAATTTAGCCACAGTAAATGGCTGCTTCTGTTAAAATATTTACAGTGAAAGAACACTGCTCAGATTTATTACAGAATTTGATCATACTAAAATTACAGAATTGTAGTACAATTAATATTTAAATAAATTAACATTAAAATGTATTAATTCTAAGGAATAGGCAGTTTTTTTAGTAAATAAATGAAATCTGAACTTAGTACTTAACACTGAGCCAGATACTAGGATGAGTGGAAAAAATAATGCTCAGATGGTCCATGCTGTTACATTTCACATAAGAAATCTTCAAACAAAAGTGTAGAAAAACTTTTCCCAGTTGAAGTCAGGAAAGAACCAAGTATTCTACTCAACTGTTCAAGAATAAGTTGTGGCTGCACTGATCTCTTTTAGGCAGATACTAGTCATCCTGTACAAAAGGCACCAGTTATACAAAGGCTGTTACAAACTGTAAATTGAACATATTTTTTTTCAAGCATGGTGAAATTTTCTAGTTTTGATAGTCATGGCTCAATTATTGCCACAACTGTCATAAATCAAGAGGTAGATAAATATATATGTATATATATATATATAATATTCTACCCTTTATTTTTAGAACATACTTTCAGAATTCATTACAATTGAAATGTTATTTCATGGGAAAGCCTTAGAAATTTATACTGCTGCATTCCAAAATATACAAAATATTGATGAGAATGAAGATTTAGAGGTAAGAGACCAAATGCATATTTGGTAAAGTTGTAGTGAGATGGTTTTGTAGCGTATTAGTGTTAAAAGTTAGCTGTTGCAAAATAATTTAATGTTTAAATAATATTTTATTGGATAATTGAATATATTTTAAAATGCATGCTTCTATTCAACATAAACAAAAATCTCAAGGAATATAGTCTATATATTTTAAAGCAGACCAAAAATTAGATTGAATAAGTAACAGTATGCTCATTCTGTCCATAGAGATGCAATTTATTAAATCTCTTATCAAAGTAGATTTGGGGATAGGAAGCAATGGATGACAGTAAGATTTATATTTACTCTGTCTTCCTCATTTTAACTTTTTAAAAGTGTAATGTGCCTCCCTAATTTTTATAAGAAGCAATGTGTTGAAATAATTTTTGCTGATTTAAGAGCTGCTAGCAGTTCAAAATATTTTTTTTGCAACATGGAAGGCAAGTAAATAAGCCTTTTAACCTAATTTGCAGGAATTCTTCCGCTTCTAGAAGTTGGGATGTAAAAAGCCAAGCATAGGCAACATAAATTCAGCCAAAACTTCTTTAATTGCTTTTAATAATTTAAAACTGAATGACTTTCAAAAAATAGATTTCTAGCTTTTCTCTTCAGTACTGAAGAGATAAAGGAAACTTCAATTATAGATGCTCTCTCCTGGTTGACCTGCACATATTAACCAATATCCAGATTTTGGACTGATGTTCATCTCTGGTAACATTTATATTTTCAGAAGAAATGAAGAGCCGATATTATTCAACTTCCTCTTTGCAGCCTTTTACAATACATCCTAGAAGTCTTACTACTTTGATTTACACCAGTCTGTTCAGATTAAAATGTGGTCTACTGGGAGTATTCCAAGAAATGTTTTAGTGATGTTTATATCACTTAAATCAGCATAGTACTTAGTTAATCATAACTTCCTGAGAAAGTGTGTGCCTGAGAATTGCTGCATGCATTCCAAATCTCACTATCAACATTTAAGTTTTATTAACAGGTATTTCGGAGTTCACTTTATCCACCAGAACATCAAACCCGTTTGGATATTGTTCGTGCAAATTCTAAATCTCCCCTTCAGAGAACTGGTTCTTCCAGAACTTGTACTGGAATAGTTCAGGTAAAAAAAAGATTTTGAATTTTTTTGTTACCAAGTGCTAAAAATGTTTTAATATAGTCTTTCCAAATAATTATTATCTCTAACTAGAAATCTATTAGATATCAAATGGTTTGAATGCCCACTTTACTTGCCACTTCAGTAAAGTTAAAAATGAATTTATACTCAGATGTGTAAATCTTTTATGAAAACCTCATTAGGGATAATAGTGGAACTTGTTTTAAGGGGCTTTTTTAGTACCATTTTAAAATATTGAGACTAGCATTTGTAATACATCTGTGTAAAATATAGTATGTTTTGGATTAAAAGCAGATTTTTAAATTAAAAAACCTATGTGCCAATTTATTTTTTCATCTTATATGTATTTGTTCATTTCGGAAAATCTGGCTGAAAATACTTCCATTTGTAAGCCATTAAATATAATTCAGAAAGATAGTTGATGTGTAGGATAGTTTGCCAACAATGAATCTTACATACAAAAAATACTTTACAAAAATGTTTTTCTGTCTCCAATGAATGCTTTTCAGTTTGTTCTCAAACAGCTTATGTTCTTTGGTAGCAGATTGCTAGGAATCACCTTAAGGAAGATGAAGCAGAAGAGGAGGAAGAGGAAGAGGAGGAAGATGAAGAATTAGAAACCACTAAGGAAGAAAGATAGCTTTTGCCACAACAAAACATTCCTCAAATTAAAAATACTAATTGTATTTACATTTCATGCTAAGATATCATAAGGGCAGCCATTAAAATTACTGCAAAATATGCATTATTTTGACCACCTTATGATCTCTTAATAGTTTGTGTACAAAAGTTGCAAAAATTGAGATATTTTTAAAAAGTTGTGTCAATTATGACAATCACTTGAAACCAAGTTTTCAAAAGAGATATTCCCATTGATTATCTACTAACACAAGGAAATGAGGTATATGCTCATATTTATTAAACAATATGCCCTTATTCCCTTGTAACCAAATAAAATGACCTTCATAAATTCCTTTGATGTATTATAGAATCCATCCACTGTCAAAACATCTAAATTTGCTTTGGCCTGTACACTGCTATAATTCTAAAAAAGTACAAGTAGCTTGACTGTTATGACCTAGGCTTCCTGATATAGTAAAAAGCAAATGCTTAATCCCAAAAACCCTCTTTATTTCAAAGGCTGTGAATTATGTTCATTCACAGACTGTAATGAGTCCCAAATAGTAGTAAAGAATCCTACAGTAGACTGCCAGTCCTTTGGAATAAGGCTGATAAGCACCCACCTTTATCTTCCCTGTAACGCTGCCAAAGACTTAACTGGCAATTAGCTTGGCAAGGCCACACCGAGCAGTGTCAAAACGGAGCTTCAGAAAGTAAACTGACCAGCATGAACCAAGTTCCTTCCTGCAAAGGCTCACATGCTTTTGCTCCTCCTTTATGTCCTGTGGGAGGGGCCAATCACCTCCAAGCCTTATTCCCGAGTTGTCCTTCTGTCTTGACTGTTCTTGCCTTCTGGCAGCTCTGTGCATGTGTGCACTGGGAACAGGGGAAGCTGTTCCTCTGCCTCGCTGCTGTCCGGCTCGGGAGGCAACACATAACTCCCAGATGGCCCTCACCCCTGACGCAGAGCCCTTGTCCGAGCTTTCCCCAAATTCCAGGACTGGCCCATGTTCATCCCCAACCTCCTTGCTGTCCGACTGCTGCCAGCTCCGCGGACCACCAGTGGACCACAACATTGACTTACAACTACGATTGAGCCCATAATTCTGTTGAGAAGAGAATTATTGAGTTCTGTCTCATTTTATTTCCCCCCACAGTTGTTAAGTGAATCACTGCAGTTAAGCATGCAGTCATTAAGCGAATTTGGCTTCCTCCATTGGCTTTGTTGGAGAGTTGGTAGGAAAGGTTATAAATGATGATCACATTATCCCAGGTCACTTTTCAATGCCAGTATAACCTTGAACAGTCACTAAGCAAATAGTTGTAAGTTGAAAACAAGTTGTATCAGAAAGATCTTGATCGTTAATTATTTCCAGCCCTATCTTCCAGCATGCCATTTATTGGAGAACTGTCACTGAAGCTTGAATATTCTCAGCCCATCCTCAGCCAGATTCTTTGGTGTTTAACTGAATAATCATATTTGATTTGCGAGTCAGTATTAAATGGTTTACCTTTCAGCATTTTATAGTATAGCTTTCAGTTTTCAGTCAAAATTCACATATTTAGAAGAAAAATGGGATTTAATTTTTTTTCATTTTATAATTAGAATTAATTCATTAATTATGTATTAGCAATATTCTAATCCATTCTATTTAATTGTAGGTTATCATATTTTTAAAATAAAAATGCTTTAAAAACTAAGTATTTATATCCTGTCTTAGTGATTCTGAAACTGAAGCCGATAGCATGTTTTTAAACTGTACAAAACACTAAGTTTGAAACTAAAGAAAATAAGCATTTAAACTTCCATCAATGGTAATTAAAATGCAGATGTGCAAAAACCTAAAACTGAACTATAATCTCTCTACCTCAGTAACTAAAGATCAATTTACACTGTACAACAGTGCCAAGAATATTATCCTTGAATACAATAATTGAACTTGCAAATCAATATATGACAAACTGCAAAATACTGAAAAAAGCAGTTTTCTTTACTAATAATACTTGAAAAACATTTTCCTGACTCAGCTAATTAGAGTAATAAATGCTGCAAAGATATGACCCCCTTTAATCCATGTCAAACACTACATTTAAGAGAAAAACATAATTACTCAGAAGAGATGTGGTATATGAAATAAGATTTGTTGATTATCATCCTGATATCCTGTATATAAGTATTCAACATCACCTTTCACAATCTGATTAATACCCTCCAGATTATGTTTAATTCCCAAGCAAAGTAGATTTGATGAGAATTATAGTTTAATGTATCTGGAAGACAGGCAGTTGGGAAAGACTTGCCTAATGCATACAAAGCCAAAGTAATGTTAAAATGATGCTGCAGCTGCAAGTACCCAAGATAAGTAAAAATGCCCTTACAATGCACATAGAACTACTTGAAAATGTTTGTTTTAAATGCTGGATACTTTTCAGCTGTCATTTTTTCTCCCTACCACGATATTAAAAGAATGTGTTAAGTATATAGTATTATATACTATATAGCAGCTATGACGAACCTTTTTTGGCTCGCATGCAATAAGTGGGGGGAGCGCAGGGGAGTCAGGTGCGGGCGTGCCACACCCATAATGCAATGCCCCCCCCCAGTGCGCATGCGCGCACTACAGGCGCTCCCCCTTTTTTGCATGCTTTTTTTGCCCTCCCCAGGCTCCAGAGGCTTTATAGAAGCCTGGGGAGGGCGAAAACAGCCTCTCCCCCCCCCCCACACACACAAAGCCCTTCTGAGGCTTCAGGCTTCCTCAATAGCAATAGCA